ATGTATTTTTAAGATTTATCTCCTGAGTTTAGTGTCACTTCAAGGTACCTTTTAGAACAATCTGAAGAGCCACATGTAGTCGTGTACCTCCCACCTCTGGTATTCGTCTAGGCATTCCCCATGTTCATGCACCTTTTTTAAAACATTGTTTATGTTTTATTAAGGCTGAACTGCTCCAGGCAAATATAAAGAGACACAAATGAACACAGATCTGTATTCATTATTACAACATTAAATGTACTTTAAAATGCAAGCAGTGTAAGTACCTGAATTTGACTTGATATTATCCTTTTTGTTTTTTTCTTTAAGGGGGGTGGTGACCACTGTAGTATCGAAGGTAAAAAAGAAGCTAGGGGCCATCCAGCTTCTAGTGGGGCAACCGCTCCAAACTCCCTCCTGTGATGGACTACAATCTCACTACAAATTAGTAAACTAAACATGAGATTGTAGTCCATCCCGGGAGGGAGCTTGGAGCGCTGGTTACTGTACAACACACACAGGGACCATGGGGAACAAAAGTAGTCACCCTCCAGAAGGAAGGATAGTGTCAGCATGAATTCAGAGATGATTTGAGGATCTACAGCAGAGTGATATACAAATAAATTACAGTATTGTTAATAGTTCAGGTACTTGAATGTATATTTAAGATTTAACTCCTAAGGTTACTGTCACTTTAATATGAAGTTCAGGAGGCAGCTCCATTGACAACAACTGAAGAAGACCTCAAATGTCAGGCGCCAGATGTAATTTTTAAGGCGCACTGGCTGCCTGTCTCCTGGGATTTTTCCGGCCCTGCTTTACATACAGAACAGAGCCAACAGCACTAGCTACAGCAACAACAACTATTTGGCAGTAGCACTAAATACAGCACTGTCATGTATGTTTTTAACAAATACAGGTAGAGTGTGGAATGACAATGATGTTGCAGTTCTGGATTCTTAGACACTAAACCCGCATTAAAAAAAAAATAGGGTGTCTAAAGCTATGCAGTACAAGATTTTCCAGCATTTCAGCCCATAGCACTGAGGTGAAGGTTGCACACTGTATGCACTTACTTTCCTGTCATACCTTTTTTTAAATTTACTGTAAATTGCCTCATTTCGTGGCACAAATACGGAGAAATGTATACATCATTAGAAATGTGTTCAGAAGTGGTCTATGAACAAAGAGCAGATTATCTCGAGGAACCTGGACAATACCTTTGTGTACTTTAGCACCGCAGTCATTCCAACTTTGCAGTATCCTTATAAACATAGACTACTCGTGTTTTCCAACCACATAAACAGTTTTGGAGAAGCAGAAGGAAAAAATAGAAATGTGCCTCAAATCATTTATATAGGACCAGATGCAACGGTTTTTTTCATGCACAAATATTTTGCACAATGTTGGAGAATGTCGGTCTACAACGTCACCGCAAGGAGATGGCTCTCAGATACACTAACAGAGATCCAAGCTCTGCCAAGGTCAGAGAAATATGCTCTTGCCAAGCAGAGCCTTCAGAGCCCTATTCCCAGGAGAGGGACTGTTCATTTTTAGTGGACAGGAGCTAGAAAAAACTAGAAGCTTTGAAGGATACAGTCTCTAACTTCAAGACCAGTGATGTTTCTTGTGCTTTCACAACCAATCTTCAGTCATTTTTTAGTTAATTTATCGTTTTTTCTCAAGTGCTACAATAGGGCCAAATAATGAAAACTTGGTCACGGTGCTCAGACTTCAGATAGTGTTGTGCATTGCCTGCACTCCGTACAGTTTTATCAAGCCAGTGGTGCTCAGAGTGATGCTCACACGAGGTAGAAACATAAATCCTTGTTTAATTTACTGTATTGTTGTCATAGTTTGCCCTAAAATGCCAACGTTTTGGGGGCCCCATACGTCTCCCTGAAGAAGGGACCCTGCATAACCCCAAAACGTTGGCATTTAATGACGAATTATCCAAAGAACATTGTTCAAGAAGTCTTGTGGTTTGTGCAGATGCCACTTTGCAAACCTAAGCCGTGCTGCCATGTTCATTTTAGAGAGAAGAGGCTTTCCCCTGGTAACCCTTCCAAACAAACCATACCAGCAAGCCCTATTTTTTGTGTTTGCAGTGGAACGGAACGCAGGCAAAGTTTTGCCACGCATCCGATCGCACTGCAGGGGGGGAGCTTGGAAGCGGTGCCATTGAATTCAGTACACCGCCACGCCCCCTCCCGCCCCAGAAAGCAGGAAGAAGTTTTGTGAGGGATCGCTGCTACCGCTCTGGAACGCACCGCTTTCGGGTTGCTTGCAATTTCTCTGACCATTCCACGGTCTGACCTTGGGGTGAATTTCCCAGGAAACTTGGCAACTTAATGACAAATTACGACAACGATACAGTAAATTGAACAATGATTTATGTTTCTACCTCGTGTGTGCTGGTGATTACCTGATTCCTTCTTCATTAATCCTTCCATAAAACGAAAGGTGAAATCTGTTTGGATCCTTTCAATTTTGAAGTCATTTTGTTTTCTCCAGTTTTATCACAGCCTCTTCATCAAAAACACACAAGAAGCTTATAAATCAACTTAGGAGCCCATTCATAACAGAGAGCAGATATCACTGTGGCTGCATTTTACCACTCGTATGCATAATATTTATGCTGCAGCATGGAGCCTGGGATGTTCCCTGGTGTGTTCTCTGCATGATTCTGCATTGGCATTGAGACTAGTCACATGACTGACAGGCCCTCCAGGCACTTTTTTTTTCTCCCCATTAAGGAAAAAAAAGGGGCTTTGTTTGATTTAGGGTCCCGAAGCAGAGCACATTCGTAAAGCACATTGCCATCATTATTAATGTGCCAGTGCAATATTTTCTGAAGCAGCAGTATGGTCGCTATAGGTCCATTCCATTGCTTTATAAACTCACCACTAAGTATTCACAGAAAATCCAAAATCTAAGAAAAGGGCAACAGAAATAACGAGTGAATCACTAAATTCGAATATAGAGAGCAAATCTAAAGACTAGAAAAAATCACACCTACAGGCATGTGAAAATTGAAGTATACCCTCTTTGAATTCTATAGTATTAAGTATCAGTACATGATACAAATCATCTGGTCCTTAGCAGGTCTTAAAACTAGGTAAATTCAACCTCCGATGAACAACACATAACATATTTATTACACAGTGTCATTATTTATTTTAAAAACATACAGCCAAAATGGAGAAGCCACGTGTGAAAAACTAAGTACACCTTATGATTCAATAGCTTGTAGAACCACCATTAGCAGCAATAACTTAAAGTAATTGTTTTCTGCATGACCTTATCAGTCTCACATTGTTGTGGAGGAATTTTGGCCCACTCTCTTTTACAACGTTGCTTCATTGAGGCTTGCAGACATTTGTTTATGTACAGCTCTCTTAAGGTCCTGCCACAGTATTTCATTGGGGTTGACATCTGGACATTGAGTGGGCCATTGCGACACCTCAATTCTCTTTTTTTTCAGCCATTCTGTTGTAGATTTGCTGTGGTGTGATTAGGATCATTGTCCTGTTGCATGACCCAATTTCAGCCAAACTTTAGTTGTTGGACAGATCGCCTCACATTTGACTCTACAATACTTTGGTATACAGAGGAGTTCATGGTTGACTCAATGACTGCAAGGTGCCCAGGTCCTGTGGCTTAAAAACAAGGCCGAATTATCACCCTTCCACCACCGTGCTTGACAGTTGGTATGAGGTGCTTGTGCCGATATGTTGTGTTTGATTTTAACCAAACATGGCGCTGTGCATTATGGCCAAACATCTCCATTTTGGTCTTGTCTGTCCAAAGAACCTGGTTACAGAAGTCTTGTGGTTTGTTCAGATGCAAACCTAAGCCATGCTGCCATGTTCTTTTTAGACAGAACAGTCTTTCTCCTGGCAACCCTTCCAAAGAAACCATAGCAGTATTTTTTTTTGTCTGGACCAGAACATACTACGCTGGTATGAACAGGGCCCAGAAATACCATAGGGATACATAGGGATGCTTTTGTGGTCTGGGAACAAACTGTTCTCGCCTGGACATAATCCGGACACGGTGTGAACAAGCCCTTATAGAGGTGGTCACACTTGCTGATGATCAATTAATCAAAGGCATTTAATTAGCTCCGCGTGGCTGCTATTAAGCTTTCCATGAAAGCAGTAAGGGCTCATTCACAGTGGAATCGGCCAGCACGTACAGTTATGTGCTGCGAGCAGGTCCGTATCGAGCAGCTCTCGGGAAGGACAGGTGCTGCGTGTGATTAGTACGCAGCCCCTGTCCTTCTCTATGGGACTACGTGGCCGTACGCCCCCCTACGCTCACCCGCACTGCACGTCCGTGCGAGTGCGTGTACGCTGACAGGATGGATTCTGTCTGCGTCCGAGCCAGCAAACACGCACCCCTACGGACCTGCATTTGAGGTGAGCGTAGGAGGGCGTACGGCTGCATAGTCCCATAGAGAAGGACAGGGGCTGCGTACTAATCATACGCAGCACCTGTCCTTCCCGGGAGCTGCTCGATACGGCCCTGGATGCAGCATGGAGCTGTACGTGTCGGACGATTCCAGTGTAAATGAGCCCTAAGAGTATCTTCGTTTTTCACACATAACTTCTGCATTTTGGCTTTATGTTTGTAATGTAATGTGGTGTTGTTCAATGGAGGTTGAATTTACCTAATTTTACAACCTGCAGATTATTTATATTATGTCAAGATACTTAAAACCATAGAATTCAAAGAGGGTGTACTTTCTTTTTCACATGACTGTAGGTCTTTATATGTTAAAGGCTAAGTTTACCTTTCTGACTATGTTTAATGTTGCACCCATACTAAGGGTGTCACAGAAAATACCGTCAGATTACATTATAGAAGCAAAGTTTCATCTCACTCTAACACAGATCCACAACCACACAAATATGATAATGAAATGATTCCACATGCTTTTGCTAAACTTGGAGGTTTCAAAAGAAAAAAGTCATCAATCATATTACTGCTTTGTAGAGCCAATACTTTCCCTTCCTGACCTTTGCAGTCTTGGCGTAATAGAGTGTCCTGCCTCGCAGTTTGAAGTAGCGCCTCCTCCATCGCTGAAAGGAGCTTGTCTGCTTGTGTAGGTGTCCCTCTTTTATGATAGCCTTTAAAGAGATGAAGAACAGTGAGCATTTCATTGTTAAAAGACCCAAAACATATCATAGTTGTTGTGTTTCCTTTGCACTTCTTTTAGGAACACTGAGGGAGGATTTATCAATACTGGAGCAGACAAAATCTGGAGCAGTCCATATCAAGCAATCAGCTTCTATGTTCATTTTTAAAGCTTAACTGAACAAACTGAAGAGAGAAGCGGATTGGTTTCTATGGGTAACTGCTCCAGATTCCGTCTGCTCCACTTCACAATTTTGGGAAATCGGTAGACAGTAAAAACAGGGAAGACTCTCGATTGATGGTGCAAGAGCAATATATACATTAATGCTTGTCTCAGTAGTAGTGCTCTCCTTCTTACCTTCCTTCATGCGTGTGTACCACAAATATTACTACTCAGCTAAAATAGAGAATAGTTTACCCTTTAAAAGCTGAACTACGAGCAGGAAAAAATACTCTTGCAGTGACTCCCCCATCCTTGCACTGGAAGGGTTAAACACGTATTTTTATCCTCGAAATAGAGGAATAAGGAGTAATACTTACATTATTCTCCACTCTAATAGGCTCCCTCCATCTGTATGACCAAAGTCTCCTCTCTAAGGTGCTCTCGGCCATGGTTGCACCCCAGCCTCTGCCACATACAATGTAGGGCATTGTACGAGATGATGCCCACAGACCGGAGCATCAGGGGAAAGAGGAGAGCGCCAGAGTGGGGATTAGGGTAAGTACTGCAACCTCTTCTGCTCCCCACTACACTTAACAAGCATTTATCCCTTGAAGTGGGGGGGAGCCTGCACTGCAAAGAGGTTTTTTTTTAGTGACACTAAACTACAAAGTTAAATCTTAAAAATGAATACAGAGAACATTATTAACAACAATGTATCTTATTTGTGCATCACTCGGCTGTAGAGCCTCAAATCGTCTCTGAATTGGTGGTGACACTGCCCTTCCTTCTGCAGGATGGCTACAAGCTCACTACAGTGAGAGACTATAACTGTAATACAAATTATCAAATTGTTTTAGTCCATCACAGGAGTGATCTTGGAACACTGGCTACTTTACAGCACACACAGGGACCATAGGAAACAAAAGTAGCCACCCTCCAGAAGGAAGGACAGTGTCAGCACCAATTCAGAGATGATTTGAGGGATCTACAGCTGAGTGATACACAAATAACATTTGTGTTAATAGTTCAGGTACTGTCAGGGCCCGAGGGGTCTTACCACTCCTCGGGGTTGCCATGTGCGGCAGAGGGCATGGGTTCCCCTTCCTGACAGTATCCCTTGTACCAGGGTGGCAGGTGCGCATGCCCGCGCGTGCACAGGGTAACGCGCGTAGTGCGTGCACAGAGGCACGGGCGTAGTGCGTCTGCGCCCATTACTGGTGTCAGGTGTGATCTTTGCTGGGGGAGGTTCCCAGCACACACCCTCTGCCTGTAAATGCCAGGTCCGTACGGCATACTGAGCTGGCCAGCTGGAAGCACTTTTGTAGCTCCGTACGCCGTACGTCCTTGGCAGCGAAAGGGTTAAAGCGTCGCCTATGGACAATTTTGGGTATTATCTTTTTTTTGAGGTTTCGCGCGCGCACGCAATTTTAAGGCTTGACATGTTTGGTGTCTTTTTACCCGATGTGACCCCGTCTCTTATATTTTACCAAAAAATTGGGTAATAATAAATGTTTTATCATTTAATATAGGGGAAACAGTTTTTTTTTTTATTTCGGTAATTTTTCGGCCAATTTTGGGTGTGGTAGTTTTCTGCAATTTTATGGCTTGACATGTTTGGTGTCTATTTACCTGACATGAAAATTTATATTTTACCAAAAAATTGGGTAATAATAAATGTTTTAAATAATGCAAAAAAATTGTTTTTTTTTAACAATTTTCGATAATTTTCCCTTAAAATAGTAAAAAATAAAACCCGTAGTGGTGAATAAATACCACCAAAAGAAAGCTCTATCTGTCCCCAAAAAAGGGTATAAAATTAATTTCCATTGGCTCCTGGATGGAGAAGATTCCTGGTTGCCTCGGCAACCAGGGGGTGGTCTTAGTTACCCACAAAGCCCAGTCAGAGCCCTTTCTCATTGCTGAGATATTCTATCCCTATGGTGTGATCTCCCAGCTCCCTGTGCCTTGAACCGTCTCACTTCCTGACCCTTTGCTTGGACTCCCTATTACCGATCCTTTGGCCTGCCCTTCCGTTTCTGAACCTAGCTGCTTGCCTCGACCCGGATTGGACCGGACTACTCTTCTTGGATTTCCCCTGTGTACCTTGACCTCGGACTTTGGCTTGCCGCCCCTGCCAAGGGGTTTCACTCACGGGCCAGCCGTACTCCCCTGACAGGTACTTGTATTCACTTTTAAGATTTAACTCCTGAGTTTAGTGTCCCTTTAAGTGCTCGTTTTGCCTAGGTACTAAAATAACAGTTACACTCACCCGAAGCTCCAAGCCAGGCAGCTGTCACAGCGCTCCCTCCAGCCACTCTCTTCCTCCACAGCATTGGAATCTTCCTCAGCGTCCTCGCATCTATACATGGTGTATAGACGTGATGATTTACAGGACTGCTGCAGAGGAGGGTCAAAGAGGCTGGAAGGACCGGTCTAATTATGAGCCAATCACAAATCCAATGGCAGATAACATCAACAGTATAACAAAATCTGTATTAAGCAGTTTGCATGTTATATTCTCAAAGGAAAGGATAGTGTGTTCTTAATGCGCACATATGTAGATCTATTAATGAAGCAAAAGTTGTATTTTCTTTTCACATTTTACCATGCATGCCTTGCCAAATTTTTCTAATTTCATTAAACACAGGGAATAACAGATCAAGCAGTAACGCTGGCCCTACACAAAGGGAATTTCATCCTGTTCTTGATGAACCGGACAAAATTCGATCCGTGGGTGCCCCAACAGCAGCCTTACACCTAAATCCTTAGATGTGAAAATCAAAGCTGCTGTCAATATTGGGGTATTCTGACAGCTATACACCTGCTGCTGTCAGAATACAATAGCCAGGCAAAGAAGATTTCCCCATCCATGTTGTTTAGCGTGGATGGAAGAGTGAGTATAAAGAAAGGCTGAAAAACAGCTGTCTTTTAAAAGGATCAACAAGGAGCCATTTGCAACAAATAATGCTCCTAGTAACACTTTACCTGATATCTTGAAAGGTCAATGGTTTTAAATCAAATAATTCAGGTGGCAGCAAATAGATTACATTACCTATTAACGTCTCATACCGTACGGATACGTTTTTGGGAAAGAAAAGCCCTGAACAATGGAAAGAAAGCTGACTTGAAACCAATGCAAAGGAAAGTGGGACTGACATTACAGAGCAGGTGCCTCCAGTTACTGCACATCACCTCTGCTTTCCACTAGTGCTCCTCAAAATCAGACTTATTCTTTTATGTCAGGGCCAGCGCACACCTAGGCGATTTCGCGCAAAACACAGATTCGCATTAAAGTCGATGGAGGCTGTTCACACCTTTGCGGTTTGTCGCGCAGGAGATATTTTCGGGCGGTTGTCACACGGTTTGGGTCCCATAGACATCTCTATGCAATGAAAAACGCGCGACAACCATACGGTTTACAATGAACAGTCGCGCAATCGAAAACAGCTCAGCATCTGAACCGCCTAGGTGTAAACCTAGCCTAAAAATGGTGAACAAGCTACTGTAGTACAGCCACTGCCCTCCACATTCATCCCAACACTGCTGGTCTGTGAAGCCATCCATTATAGACACAGGCCCTTAATGGGTCACAGGAGGTAGAAGGGGTAGGCCACAGCACTGACTACAGGGGCTTGGTCACTATTGCATTACAGATCACGTGAGGTTTTGAGGCTTCCAGGGTGCACTAGATGAATGTGATATCTGGTAGGGCAAAAGTGAGAACTCTACTCCAATCTGAAGAGGCAAAGTCTTATACAGATGGATGAAAAGTTCTTATTCGAAGAGATCCAACACATTCTGGGTTGTAAAGCATCTTCAAATGAGAACCACTTGTCCATCCTTTCCTGTAGAAGGCTTTGCCACTGTGGATTGGAGTAGTGAGCTCACCTTGTGATGTGCGCTATACATGAGCACATCATGGCCTCTAGTTTGAGCCAGGTATACTGTTCTTTCTCAAGTCTACCTCAATGAATATGGGGTAGGCATGTACTGGAGTGTCTGCTAATCAACATATGTGCCATTTTACCAAATATCTCTGCCATAAGGTTTGCTTTAACATTTACTTGAAAGTATTTTTTTCACCTTTCATGGAATGTATTACATTGAATTCAAAAATGATCTAAATCTAGAGGTACATGGCAATTAAAAATCTTTGATGAAAAATCTAACGACTTACGACGATGTTGTTTGTTAGCAACACATTGATTTCAGTGTGCTGCAATATAGGTGACCGGTAAGAGTGAAATCTCTGGGTAGCAAAGAGCTTTCTAGGATAACTATATTTTTAAAAAGGTGTCCTCGGGTGGCCCCCTTCATCCTCCCCATCAAAGCCATATACCTCTACAAAGGCCAGAGCCAAAGCCTTTCAAACAGGATGATCATCAGATGTAAAGGCTGTGTACAGTCTTGTGACTTTGATGTGGAGGGGGAGGGATGGCAAATGGGGACAATGCATTTCAAACTATATTTATCCTTTAATCACCTGTGTAGCCCTAGCCTCATGGTCATCTCTGGATCAGAGAAAGGTTTTTGTATTTCCTGCTTACCGAAGGTTGAAATAAGCTCAGCTGATCTTAGAAAGATTACCTTATTTTCAATTAAGCCCAACTGATAGAGTACAAGGACAGGAATAGTAAGTTGTGCTCACTCTGCAGTATATAAAATGAGCAACAATGGCTGCCACCATGTATACATGTATTTACAATATACACATAATAAGACAGGACATTAACAAACAAAAAAAGAAAAACATAATATTTGATAAGATTGTTTCGATTATGTAGATCATATTCCAATACAAAAAAAAAAAAACTGAATGCTACAGTTTCC